ATGGACTTGTATATCATATACACATATATTTGTACATTTATGTACGTATGAATAATGTATGTATGATCTTTTACTGCACAAAGCACATATATAGTTTCAAAAGGCATGAAGCACCAAGTATATTATGGAACTGTAACAATCATGTGAAAGAGAAAAGCTATAAACATATCTAACTGGAATAATGGATTTTTTCGAATAAGTATAATATTTTTGTAAGCAATGATTATTTATATTCTATTAATTAAAACCAATTTATCAAAAAGTAAAAATTATATGAATTATTACTTTAAACATTTTATCAAAAAGTAAGAATTATATTAATTTTACTGTATGCATTGATATCGTATAAACGATTAATATAATTCTTACTTGATATAAATTGATGTATTCATTGCAGAGATATGTTATATAAAATTTGTATTTATTTATATATAGACGTAAGTGGATTTCACCGTTGCGTCCCTCTTTTCAACCTGCTGTCCGCGAGGTCGTCAACTGTCGAGACTCTTGACGTCGGTATATAGGGCGTTCCACTTAACTCGGGTATCTCTTGAGTATCTTCTGATATCATCCCTGAAATCATTTCGTTTGAAAAGACAGATATCATGATTGTTGAAATTCTAAGAGGATGGATCATCCATTTGCTTCCAAGAAACATTTCCAAGCAGAGCAATAAATTATGATAATGTTAAATTCTAAATCCTAAATCCTACTGATCGAAAAACGACTTTTAATAATTATTTTGGAATCATTTTCATTTTGACGTTATAATGATTTTTTTATTTTCCTTAGGTTAATGCTGTACGTGTCATATTGATTGGCGGAAGAATAGTTCGTTGTATTAAACTTTAAGTATTAAGTTAAAAGAAATCCTTTATAAAACGGAATTTATTATTAAAATGGAAAACAGATTGAAGAGACCTGAATAGAACAGGTCAAAATGACATTAAAATAAATCGTAAATGATTGAAAAGTGACTTTCAGTCAATCATTAATTTTGAAGTCAATATTATGACTTCTGTTTCGAAATATTTTCTAGAAATAGAAAAGTAATGATTTCCTTTCGCTTTGAGAAAAAATTATATACAACAATATATAAATTATATATATTATTTAATATTATATATTAAGTAACGCAAAAGTTATAATCTTGATCTTCTTATAATATAAAATGTTTTCCAGCAAGAGACACAGATGACACAGCGTAATACAATGAATTAAAGATTTTAGAATAGTCTGAGCACAAGCGATTTTATTAAAATTCTACGATCGAGTATATATACTTTTCCCTCCCAAGGAAACATACAAAAAGAAAAAAATCAAAATAACTATTCTAATTCTTGATGTATAATATAATAAATATTCATATTTCATAACTTATAAAT